CACCCACAGAGTCCACCTGTGATTGATACTGCAACTATGCTGGGCGGACTTTAGTTACAGATTCTCGGAGAGAGCATATAATCTGGTTTGATCAGTAATTTGATCGCACGTCACAAAGACTAGAGACTTGGTGGTTAGCCCAACAACCGACCGCCTACAAACAGTCCCGTCAACCAATTCCACGTACAAGTTTTGGGTCAATCCATGGTATCATTTTTAGAGCTCAACTCGTGGTATGCTTTTCACGGCTCAACCCGTGCTATGATTAAGAAAACGAAACGTAGAACGAGCGTTCTAACTACTCGATCACGTGCCAATATAGAAATAACGTTCTAAGTAATAAAAATGGCGGGTTAAAAATAAAATCCATTAATTCTTATATATAATAGTATCTAAAATCTAAGTATTAAAAACTTACAGTGAGTAGTTTGCATATTTTTACATGAAATTACCTGAAATTGAGGAGAAAAAAAATAACAACTATTCCTGAAAATGGTGCTTGTATGCATCGAAAGCAGTTGCAAACAATATGAACCGAATATCTAATCCATAGTACAATTAATGAAACAAGGATCGTGTCAGTATTTTTGTCACCATATTTATTACGTTTATGTGTTCTCAAGGACACATGGCACAGGAAACGTGGATAAAGGCGTTAGTTAGATCCAGTGACCCAAAGAGTGTGAGTTCAATACTCGGTTAAAGCAGTGGAGAACTTGAAGAGAGAAATTAACAAGAGATAACTGATAACTGACATCCATTAAAAATATGGCACATGGAACTAGAACAGTCTACCCCAGTGAGTGAAATAAAGGGTTCAGTTCGACATTCCAACCACCTGAAGAAGGCCGGAGCGTACAACGGCCGAAATGTTGTAATAAATATGGCGACAAAGATGAGGACAATAGTCCGAATAATGTAAATAAGGATCGTGTCGTTCAGCGAGTGGTCAGTAAGTTAATGCCTTCTTAATCTGTTAGCGAAGTTAATTCGCCATTAACTACATTAACTTTATTGATTAATTCTTTGTATGACTATTTTATAATATTAATTATGCCACATTATTTCTTAAATATATATATGCATATGTTTGTGTGTGTTTTTGTGTGTGTATACTGTAGTACATATACCGATGTGAGTGGGAGAAAGTCCCCACCTCAGGTCCCTTAATCTTATCCAGGGTTGTACTGATCAGGGTGGCAATTACGCATATGCCTGTATTATAATTTCGATATTTTTTTTTATTTAATAACAGATCTTGGTTTTCCAAACCAAGCAACAACCAGCTTTTCTTTATGTTAAACTTTGCAAAATCTAGATCCTGTTTTGTAACCGATAACTTTTCATTCTTTTTCTTTAATGCCCCATATGTATTTTCATAAAGATATGCTATTTCACTTCGAATAACACCTGTCTTGATCCAATTTAGATGCTTTTTCTTGTCCTTCGAATTTTACCGTTGCTTTATAAACAATACTATTAGCATGTCAGTCAAAATTCAGAGGACATAAATTAACATTTCTATAATTGCATTTTACGTATCATATATATATATATATATATATATATATATATATATATATATGTGTGTGCATGTTAAAAAAGCAGTTTCATTTGAGTTAATATTCATATTATCTCGTATTATTTCTTTCATTATATTTCTATTTTTTTAAATTTTAACTCTCATATCATTTTACGCGTCGTTTTATGAGCGCAAATCGGAACCATGGGATCAGCTTACGGCAAGATTTGAACTCGTGTCAGTCATGAGCTTTTCTGTAATTTTAATTCGAATCAGTCATCTTTAATATTTTGTAAAATAATCCTTGAAATAATCGTTGCGTGTTAGTTTTCACTTTCGCATCATTGCCTGAATCATCTCAATGGAAAATGGAGAATCTTAAACTGTTGTATTCTGGACCATTATGAAATCCCTTTTCATGCAGAATAAAACCTACAAGGAAATCCATGAGGTAAACATCTGGTAACAAGGGGCCTACCATAGTTCCCGGTGAAAACTTGATGTGTCAGCTTCCCGTGTGAAAAAAATATGATTCGACTGATTTTTTGAAAATGTAAAAGGTAATTTTTATAAATTCTTAATGTGTAATGCTTAACTGACAATAATTTATGAAAAAAGAACTCCATATTACGAATTTTAATTTTTTTACATTTTAAATAATCATGTGGTATGAAGGTTTGGTTTGATTTGTTTTCTTTTACGGCATATAAACCTCAATGGATTATTTGAGGCCGACAAGACTTTTACAATAGAATGGTATGAATAGAATATATATTCTTTGTAAAGTATCAGTTTGTAGATCAGGTTTCATTGACGTATTTTTGTAAAGAGGATTTTTGTCGAGAGTCTGGTTTCATTGAGGTATTTTTTTTTTTAATCAAAAATGTATTGCTGTTAATATTTTTTCAAAAATACATTTCTGGTATTTTCCCTATAAAAACCTATTTTTACAATTTCATATCGTTTGACCCGAATTTGGGGTTTAACTATTTGCCTTTGGCTGGGACCCTAATAGGTGCAATCACTATGGGTCACGATGGACCTAGGAACAACAGAAATTAGGAGGTGGTTCCACGCACCTCAAAACATCTCGATCAGAGGCCTTTCTGTCGGATATAGTTTATCGTCAGACACAGGACGCCTGATTGTTTTTTGGATCTGTTGATAAAAAAGTAACGGTGCAAAAGACTTGCCACGGAAACTCCGAACGACAGTCCTCATGTGTTATTATCGCGGAGTTTAACCTCTCCGGATCACAATCAATATCAGCCAGTACACGCCTCTCTGCAGACACATGCAATATAATGACCGGGTTAAAGTGTCATGAGTTTTCCTTCCCATCTGAAGTCTTTTTATTGTGAAACCAACACTAAAAGGATTGCTAACCAAAACTCAGAGAGACTACTTTCACCCTCATCAAGGGTAGCTAGCCCGTGCCAGTACTTTACATAGCTCCGCGGGGTATATATATATAGACAATCGGCTTGTCTGAATCATCCTCAAGAAGCGAGATCAAGATCTAAAAGAGCAGCCAATCTAACAGTGATCTCATCCCACAATCCTCACTCTTGCTCCGTATGCGGTCTCCTTTGTAAATCACTAGCGGGTCTTAAGTGCCACTTAAGATTATTGCACAAAATTTCATAACTCAATTAAGTTAGCAGATCCTCATACGTCGAAACCGACGGGAGAGTCCATTATTATTGTGTGTGTGTGTGTGTGTGTGTGTGTGTGTGTGTGTGTGTGTGTGTGTGTGTGTGTGATATAAATCCAAATGTCAGAGTTTCGCACTTTTTAAACTTTATTCCTAGAGGCTCAACATATCATACGATTTTGGAATCAGGCTGAGACTCTGTGACCAAATTAAAAACATTCCGAGCTGGATCCGGACCCGTTATCCTGAAATGTTGGATTCACAAATTTTCATAACTGCAATTGTTTTCGGCGAAATTTTACCTGATTTTTTTGCGACGAATTTTTTGTACGATAACATTTTTTTATATTTTAGAAATTTGCGAAGAATCGAAATTAATTGCGAAATCCAGCGTTTATACGGAAAGTATGAACCTACGTACATCAAATTGTCTTTAAATTAAGTGGCGGCAGAAGAATTATCGTTGAACTTTTAAAAGGTAAGCTTAGATATTAATGCAATACTTAAATTCAGCGATCAATTTTGAGTTCTTCTGTAGTTTACTGTTTATCGCATACGGCAACAGTATACCTCACAAAAAGAAATCTATGCCAACAGAGAACCAGATTGCAATCAAATGATCCAAGGCTGCAGCGAGGAAAAGAAAGCCCCGTGCAAATGAACGCTCAGATCAAAAGGCATCCAGGAGAGCTTCCCATGCTGAGAATATGCAAAGACTTAGGGATACTCAAATTGCTAAACAAGCCATGTATATTGCGTATGGAGTTTGGTAAGTTTCTGTATGTGTTTAAATGGCTCCTAATTGAGCTTCGGTCAGTGAAGTGCAAACACACCCGGGAACCTACTAAACTCCATCCGAAATATACTTGTAGAAAATACACATATAAAAAATAATGTAAAATCTAATAATAAACAAAAATGACATCAAGTATAAATACGGCCACAGTGTTCTGACCGTGTTTGGAAAATAAAACATTCCTATAACTTTAAATACATACATAACAACCCATACATTCAGTTTAGATTAAAAATAATAATAATCATTCTCGATAATCACTTAAAGAACAGCTGAAAGTGCTCGGATATGCAGAACATTTGTACAATTTGACACACTTTATGTCCAGGAAAGAAAACACTTATACGAACACAAGAAAAATTAATTAATAAAACACACACACACACACACACACACACACACACACACACACACACATATATATATATATATATATATATATATATATATATATATATATATATATATCAACGCAGTTGATCTCTCATCAAACCATGCCCAGGCATGCGCCCTTTAAAAGACACTCCAACGTCGCTTCACAACGACTGCAAAACAAAGTAAAGAAGATTCTACCAGTTATGGCGTGCAGCAAGACGCCATGTGTTGCTTTCGACGGAGGGGAGAAGTCATCGCGCTTTACTGGACAGCTAACGCCCGTCTTCAGCTGGGCAGCCTCCAGCCAAAAATGTACTGTCCCGTCACAGTACGCCTGTTCCACTGAATCAAAGAAAAAAATATAACAGAATTCAGAATTGCATGTTAGAACGTACGGACTATGACAACTGGTCTATCAGATAACCTCCGCGAGATCAACAACACCCGCAAAAACAACAGTGATTAACAACAAACGACTTCGGCTCCAGTAGACATTGCAGCGCTTCAAGAGACATGGCTTCCAGATTTGGGAACACTTCGTGAGAGAGAGTACACTTTCTTCTGGCGGGGAAAAGGTAAGGATAAGATCAGGGAGCACGGTGTCGGCTTTGCTGTGAAAAAGTCGTTGTTTAAGATTCTAGAACTCGGCAAGGATGGATCAGAGCGAATCTACTCTTCGATTGCATTCCTCTGATGAAACTGTCGAACTTGACAGCGCTTACGTTCCAACCCTATACTTCTCACAACACATCAAAGATGAGTTTTCTTATCAGCTATCAAAGAAGATACAGACCCTTCCGAAAGAGGAACAGTTGGTAATACTTCGCGCTCTCAACACCAGAGATGGCGCCTAGTTCTCTGGGAGAATATGGCATCGGTAAATTGAATGATAATGGCAAACGTCTTATCGAGCTTTGTGTGCTTCACGAGCTATGCGTCACTAACACATACTTCCAGGCCAAAGCCCAGCACAAAATCTCCTGGCTACATCCTTAGTATAAACACTGGGCATCAGCTAGATTTGATCCTCACGATATACAAATACATTAGAAAGGTGCACATGAGGGGGTCCTTTTAGAGCACCGACTGTGACACGGATCACTCCCTGGTTTGTGAAAGTGACTACTGGCTCAAGCAGTGCGAGAGCGTACAGTTATCATTCGAGACTGGTAACGTTCGCGGGATGTATGAAGGAATCAAGTAAGTCACCGGCCCAACCAAATGCAAGACAGCACGGCTGAAATCCCGGGCCGGCGAGATCGTAAAATACACAGACAAACAGATGGAGAGGTTGATGGAGCACTACTCGGGAACGTACTCCAGGGAAAGCAGTATTTCAGACACCCTCCCCTAGACACCGAGGTCAACAGACAGATCAGACGAGTTAACACGTTTGTCAGGCTGAGCTCGAGAGTCTGGGAAAACAGAAATCTTGCTACGAACAGCAAGTCATGCAGTCTATGGCGCATGAGTCGTCAGCGTGCTGCTCTACGGCAACGAGACTTGAAGCCTCTACTCACAAAAGGAGAGACACCATAGCACCTTTCATCTTGGCTGTCTGAGAGGCAATCCGGACAACAATTAATCCGACCAGGTCACCAGTGCCGTAATTGGAAGAGGTTTATTCTCTTTGGGCGACATGATTTTAGCAAATCTTTGTAAAGTTTATCGATGTTCAGAAAATTAGATGTTAGTTTCCTTTACTTATTTACTTGTAAGTAATCTATTCTATAATATAAACTACGGTCTAATTTTATTTATTCATGAGTGACACAGCCTAATCCTTTATTTTTGTAATTTCTTTATTATGGTAACAAAACGAATTCCTCGACGTCAATAGACCTCATAACATTATCATTAAGGTAACAATGAATTTCTCATTAATAAGTAGGCAAGATCAATTTGTTAATACATTCAATTTTATTACTTGTTTCATGTTAACTTTCTTCATAAAGATTTACTTTTAATGATTTAAGAAAGAGAATTCTTTCTTAAAAATAACAATACAGTAAATTGATTATTCACGCTAAAAATATTTGTATGCAAATGCAAAATCACTTATATACTAGCATCAATTATTTTTTATTTTACTATTATATTAATATTATATGACTATTTTATTAAGTAAACTCATAAAAACAGCAGGTTCTTCTAGAATTGTAATTAACATTTACATTTTTCCCGTTCTTGTTAATACAATTCTGGGGCTTTTAGCAGAGCAGAAATAAGCAATGAAAGACCGTACGCAACCCGGGTACCATTTGTTTGGTATATTACCATCAGAGCGATGATTTAGATCTATTAGGACAAAGTGCTTCATTAACAGGCTTTACCCTTGGACCCTGCGTAAAATGAACGTTGCTGCACGCTGAGAAATTTAAACGTATTTCACTTTTCTTCATTCGATGCTGTGTGGATGTGGGGAGGGGTATGTGGGTTTGTGTGTGCGTGTATTTGTTTCATTTGTGCTGTGTGAGGACGTGTCTATATATATATATATATATATATATATATATATATATATATGATTTGTGTGTGTTGTGCATTTAATTGTGAATTTCACAATGACAAAAAGAAGGAAAATAGTAAACGAAATAAATAAAGGGCTCTAACCAATCAGAATTAGCACTGTCTTTATTTCCTAACGTCCTGACACTAACATATCTTACAGATTTAAGGTATGCTATATTTACACGGTGTTGAATGGTTTCGCAGGTCCCCGTGACACGTTGATAAAGCGTCTCTGCATTATTAATGTCTGCTGCATAAATCAATTGTTCTAGGTGACCCCACGGATAAAAAAATCCAAAGGATTGCCTTCAGAGGAACATGCAGGCCATGGGACCGGCCCTCCCCTACTTATCCATATTTCATGGCAGAGGGCAGCTAGTGCATCGTGAAGGCTGTGACTAAAATGTATGACCCATATGCGTCTTCGTATTAACAGGGGGTAAACCTGTAATAGGTCTGGAAGCGTGTTTGATATAAAGTCCCTGTAGACAGCTTCTGTAAGACGTGCTGGGAGAACATATGGACCTACCAGACAGTCACCTACAATTCCAGCCCCCACTTTAACCGTAAACTGATGCTGTTGTCTAGCCTGTAATGTACCATGGAGATTCCGATCCACTCACAAATGTTGGTTGTGTAAATTTGTTATTTCATCTTTTCCAAATGTTACCACGTCCGTAAACAAGACTGAAGAGACAAACAACGGATCAGAAATAAATCATAGGCAAAATTTCTCCCCTGGTGAATGTTCCTGCACACATTGCAAATGATACGAATACAGGAGCTGCCCTTGAAGTACCCTCCATGCGGTACTATGAGATGTACGACATGCTAGAACCACTTGACACGTACTGATAACCTTATCGTCTCTGACAACCTGTAAAATGTGTTCTTCATGGTCAAGCACACGAGCGGATCTCGGTCGTCCTCGATCTATGTTTTGGTGCCACGGATCCTGTCTCCACAACGCGACGATAAACAGCAGCAAAGGTTGAATGACTCGTCTGCCTTCGATCTGGACACGCCATCTGATACAGCCGGGCAACCTCGCATCCATTACCATTCGCGTGGCCGTATGTAAAAATCATATCTGTTTTCTCACGATATGAATATCCTGCCATTGTTAAACAGAATACTTCTCAATTAATTCACTACTACACACGATAAACGTTGAAGACAGACAAGCGACAAATGTACACGAATGACAAGTGTAACCTAGTCTATATGGCAACTTAAATACCGTAAACTTTCTTTAAACTTAATAACTCAAAAACGAAGGATATGTTTTGTTGTGGTGTCCTCCCTCTAAATAGTCTATGTTGGACTCTTCCGCCTAGATTAGTAGGAGAGAAGGCCTTGGGGGAATAGCCGAATAGATTGAAGGCTGGGTCAACCGACACACACCCACTAGGCGTGTAATACTCATCTTTTGTACTTACTGTTTAATATATGATATATCTGTAACACTTATTTTGTTATTTCTTTAACCATTTACTTGGTCGCAGCATGTTTATATGAAATTTTGTCCCTGTTCTGGTGTGAGGTACCCTCCACCAAAATTTGTAAAAGTATTTTTGATACACCTTGTATATTATGGAATGGTAATGGTAATACCGGTTTCTTTATAAGGAAACATTCAACAATTTGTGACTGAATTTTAGCGATGAAGAGTTATCATTATTTATATTGTTTTAATGCGGACTATTGTCTTTATCTTTCTTCTTCTCATCACAACTTTTTGACTATTGTGTCTTTCGGACATCAATAGATGCCTCAAGTTTATCTGGCTCGACAAGCAGAGGGCAGATCGGCTGAAACGTTTTGATAGCAACAACAAAGATGAGGACAATAGTATGCATATAAATCATGAAAAGGAACATTTGGTAGTCACTGACTAAGAAGCCAGCGCTTCCGTCGGTTAAAATATATGAAATCTCTTTATTAAAACAATTTTTCAGGAAATTAGATTCTAAGTCCATCATTACATCTCTTTCCAGATTTCGGTTTCCTTTCTAACCTTTTGCTTGAGGTGGTGTGAAATATCAATATCTTCATTATATCATTATTTTCTCTTCCAATTACATGTGCTATCATTTTTAATTGTTGCTGCTGGTGACAGTCCTCAAGTGATGTGGTTTCTATTATTTGCCGTAGTTTTTTTCATTTCTTTTATTTTCCCAAGTACTTTCAACCTCATCCAACCTCATCTTCAGGAGAGAATTACTAAGACAAAAAAAAAAAATGAATGTAATTGATAGTTGTGTTTTTTTTTTTTTTTTTTTTTTGCTTCCTTTTGTTTTTTGTAAATGCGCATGAAACGCGCTCCTTTATAGTCAATTTATAAATGAAAGTTTAGATACCATAGAGGAAAGTTCATCAGAACAATTACAATGAAAGTATTTATAGAAAAAGCAGAGGGGGGATACGTTAAGGCAGTGGGAAAGTGACTGAAACTGAGATGCCAGGTCAGGACCAATAACATTGCATATTCTTCTTTTTATTTTATGAAGAATCTCTAAATATATATTGCAGGAGCACCAGACCAGATGTGACAGCAATATTGAAAGCCTGGATGAATGGTAGACTTATAAATATGTAAGATAGATTCTGGAGAGAAAAATTGTTTAGCACGACACAGTGAACCAACTTTTCTACAAGCGGACCTAAAAATTGATTCAATATAATTTTTCCACTTCATGTCAGCGAAAAACGTTAATCCAAGAAGGTCTAATGAGCCACTCTCGTGAATGTTAGTGCTGCATGTGTAAGACGATAATCTACATCGAACAGCAAGGCCTCTGATCAGAAGGTTTTGAGGAAAGTGGAACTACCTCTTAATTGCTGGTGCTCCCAGGTCCACCCTGACCCGGGATGGTAGCACCTGTTAGGGTCCCAGCTATGGGCAAATAGTTAAATCCTCAAACTAGGGTCAAAACACTATGAAAGTATAAAGATAGGTTTTAATACCAGCAATATATTTTTGTAAAATATTATTACTAGCAATAACTTTTTGAAGAAAATTTTTTTACCAGCAATACATTTTTGGGAAATAAAACATCGGCAGCAATACATTTTTGGAATAAATATTACCAGCAATAAAAAAAAATCGGCATTATATAACCCATTGAGGTGTTGATATGCCGTAAAACCTAACCAAACCAAACCTGGAGGTTAGCATATTTACTGGTGTTAGGCTGATGTTTTCTGTTTATCTGTGTGTGTGTTTGTGCACGCGTGTGCAATCGTGCATGTATAACATTTCGTGGTTTTATATATATATATATATATATATATATATATATATATATATGTGTGTGTGTGTGTACGTTGTTAGGAGAGACAGTTATAACTGTCCTAGATTATTGTCATTTTAGCATATCATTGCTATATATCTCTTAGGTTGACCTGCCAACTTTTGTTATTTCAGATTGAAGAAAACGGCTGGAACAGCTCTTTGAAGACACCCTACTAAACTCTGGTTGTCACAGCTGACTAGTTTGTAGAATGCAGTTGGGTTGTGAAGATACGGTAATTTGGAATCTCGCTATACAATAAAGTTTCTTACTTGAAAGAGATAATTGCGTAGTGTCGTACCACTCGTGAAGATTGTACTGATGCCATAAGGACCACCGATCTTCTGTATCTTTTTTATTTTCAAAACACGGTCAAGATATTATGTCCATGTTTATAGTTGATATTATTGAGTGTTGGTTTTTTGTTTTTATTAATAAGGCTTCCATTATTTTAGCCTTTTTTCACATGTAGATGATGCTATTTTATCAATAAGTATGTTACGAATCGGGTCCTGTAGGTCGCCATGAATATTTAAATGAGATCCAACTGAGCCATGGTCAGAAATGTGTAGAGCTAGACTTCTTTGTAGTATGGCCAATATATTATTTACGAATTTTGCTTAATTAGACACGTTGTCTATAATTATTTCGCTGAGTTAACCATCTGATGAGACCTTGGCGGTGGAAACCACGGTAGTGTTCCATTCAGCGTTTTATTATTTTTATATATTTTATATATATATATATATATATATATATATATATATATATATATATGAACTCATTCCACACCGGGGTTGATAAGACAGACGACCGATATCATTGTCTGCCGAAATAGATTATTCCCCCATATGAGGTGATTTTGTATTTTATTGTTTATAAATTATATTGCGCTGTATTAATAAACACATTGACCTATTTTTGTGTATCAGTTTTAATATTTTATATTACTAGGATCCACTTAGTTTATATACCAACGGATTTATTATATATATATATATATATATATATATATATATATATATATATATATATGAAGAAAAATATATACGAAAAAAACAAACAAAATTCATATATACAATTATGTTGTTTTAATGTTAATATGTCAACGTCGGACGTTTCGCTCAAATAAACCATCTTCAGGACATATTCATAAATTATAACATTATCAATATAACATGACAATATGAATATGTCCTGAAGATAGTTTATTAGAACGAAACGTCCGACGTTGACATATTAACATTAAAACAACATAATTGTATATAAGGATTTTTGTTTGTTTTTCCGTATATATTTTTCTTCATACTGTCGGATTTATATCTTATATATTTGCTACATATATATATATATATATATATATATATATATATATATATATATATATATATATATATGACCGATTCGAATCTCACCATAGTCGACTTGTCAAATAGGAGACTTTCTGATGTTATTGGACTGGAGGGGTTGATCCCAGCTTGCAGCACTTTTGGAAAGTGCCTGAAAACCATGTCAAAGGTTGACCCAAGCCTTGGTAGTGAAATTGGGTAGACTGAACCCTTTGGTGCCGTCGATAGCTGTAGCACGAAGTTATAAGTCATCGTGACCGAGGGCTTGAGTGTGCTGACGTTGTTCACACTGTTGATCACGCTAGATAACACGCTCATTCCCAAAAACTGTGACGAAGGTCTGCTTAGCATAGTTGCCGTATAAACCACAGAGCAGACGTCTGCAATAGGGATTGACTAGCCTCCTAGTAGACGGGCATCCTCGAATACGAGTGGCTAGCTATATATATATATATATATATATATATATATATATATATATATATATATATCCAAGTATAGGATTGGTGTATACGGAATGAATTCCAATAACCAACAAAAAAAGAGTGCTCAATAAAGAGTAGAGCAAATATAATTATTTATTCGAAAATTATAATTTCTTATTCGAAAATTATAACATAAACAGGTTATAAAAACACTACAAAAATAGCCATTTTGTTTCAGCACTTCTGGTGTCTTATCAAGTGATGGTGTTGAATGTAAAATACCCTTTATTCTACATTCAACACCATCACTTGATAAGACGCCAGAAGTGTTGAAACAAAATGGATTTTTTTTAGTGTTTTTATATTTTCGAATAAATAATTTATATATATATATAATATATATATATATATATATATATATATATATATATATATGAAGAAAAATACAAAAAAACAAACAAAAATCTTAATATGCAATTAATTTTGTTTGTTTTTTCTGTATTTTTCTTCATACTGTCGGATCTATATCCATATATTTACTTACACACACACACACACACACACACACACATATATATATATATATATATATATATATATATATATATATAATGATCTTTTATTTATCATAGTTTGGCACAATGGCATACTAGGACAATATCTCTTGAGAAGTGAACTCAGTTCTCCACCGAATTGTTTACTAGACGGACTCGTTAGCCATCATCCAATAAGTGAGAGGCTCTGTGATGAATTATGATAAATCATAACAAAGTGCAATATTGCAATCGGTATGAATTGCCAAATTGATAACAACCGGTAATTAGATGCAAATATATTTTATATATTTTCTTTGCTATTTATTCTTTAGTGCAATCGTCTTGGCAATCTTACTGAAGCGCTTTGTTTTTCGAATGTCAATGATAAAGATCAAATTACAGCAGCTGCAATAAAACTGAAAGACACCTGCTTATGAATTAAAAATGTTCAGATAGAAAAATATTGTACGAAAATTTGTCAACTTTGTCTGGCTGCTGGACGTTGATGCAAATGTTTCTCGAACTAAAATCACCATAAGTATTCAAAGAAACAAATCTATATAGATTTATCTAGAGTTATCGTATATATCAAGCAGTCATTTTATATCTGTCTCAATTTGTTCATATTTGTCTATCTCAGTTTGTTTCTATCTATCTATCTATCTATCTATCTATCTGTCGTGACCAAGTAAATAGTTAAAGAAATAACAAGTGTTACAGATATATCATATATTAAACAGCAAGTACGACAGACGAGTATTACACGATTAATGAGTGTTTGTCGGTTGACCCAGCGTTCAATCTATTCGACTGTTAATATTTAACAGCCAATACGAGGGATTAATGTGGCCGAGTTTACCGTAGGCCCGGCCAAAAATATTCCCTTAGAACCCGCATAAACGGGTTCAGGTTTGTCTACCTCCCCGGACGAAACTTTGCCCTTCGGCAAGCACTCGTCCGGGTTCCTCTCTGCTCAAGGCAGAGAGTTCAACAGTAAAGAACAATCTATTCGACTGTTATATTTAACAGTCCCCCCACAAGGGATGTATTTGGCACAAGGCCGAGTTTAACGTGGGTTTCTCCGAGACCGTAGGCTCGGTCAAAAAATTCCCTTTGGCCTAGACGGGTTCAGGGCCTTACCTACTCGGACGAAACTTGGCCCTTCGCTCTTCGAGTTCCTCTCTGCTGAGGCAGAGAGTTGAACAGTTGAACAATCTGTGCGACTGATCCTCTAAGGCCCTTCTCTCCTTCTAATCTGATAGTTGGCGGAAGAGTCCAACATAGACTCTTTAGAGGGAGGATACCACAACATTATCTATTTTTGTCTGTTTATATCTATCTATCTATCTATCTATCTATCTATCTATCTATCTATCTCAGTTTGTTTATATCTATCTATCTCAATGTGATCATTATCTATTTATCTATCTAAATTATTAAAAATAAATTAAAAATGTGATATTTGTCAATGAATTCACTAGTGGGATGGTGTTTCTACGAAAGTTAATTGAATATTTTTTGAACCGGAAGATACCTCATCTATCTATCTATCTATCTATCTATCTATCTATCTATCTTTTTCCTTTTTTAAACGATATGAATCTATTTCTTTGGAACATCGGTGACGTCATTAATCGCTAAAACGTGGTCTGGTCACTGGCAGGCAAAGGAAGTCATTTAGTGGGCTGGTGGGCAATCCACTAATTTCAATTACTTATAGTCAATGCCCATACTGAATTACTTTTTCACATACAGACACGTATATGAAAAACACATATCCGTGGTAACGCCCAAATTTACATAGACGCATATTCAGACATTCTTTCTGAAACTTCGTCGACATTCCAATTCAAACCACAGTAAAAAAAAAAAAAAAATCACATTGCAATATGATATTTTGCAGTCTAATTTAAATACGTCTTCAAAGCCGATGTTATCAGCCAATCAGATTATGAAGCACTGCAAACGAGCAACGCGGATGACAACAAGCGAAGGAATCCCTTGACTACGATGGCGACGTTCTCGCAGCTGCGGAGAGTGTTATTTGCGCATGCGTACCATCTTGTATGCACTGATGAAATGTATTTATAGGAGCCGTCTCAATCGTTTCTTTTTTTAGCTCACACCGTACCGTTGCTCTTTCTCTTCACCAATTCCTTTGGATTCATTTTGGGGGTTACTAGTTATGAAGGAGAGAAAATAAAAGTAAGTCCCGTTTTAGAGGGCTCATATACTTAGAGGCATAAAGTGTAAATAATGAATGACAAGCCTAGAAGGTAAATATAATCGAGTTTTGTGTATGTAAGTATGTGTATGCTCATATACGAACATGTGTCAGGCATATACAGGATGTGTGAGGCATTTGAGAACAAAATTTATTGCGGTCCATAAATGGTTAATAGCCTACCGCCATTTATGGTGGCATGCGCCAAATTTTAACATTCTTATTTCTTTTTCAGAAATATCAACAGTAATATCATGGCAGCTTCCAATCTGGTTCAAGAAATGAAAAATGAAAAAGGAACGCCGTGATCGTAGCCGCCGAACACGGAGATAGCGAAGTTTTTGAAACGAACCAGGTGAATAGGAGTAAAAGTCAGCAGCTCTGGGGTAGCTGCAGTGATGCTCACCAAATTTCCGTCTTCTGAAATGGTCATGAGGATCGTGAGCATTCAATAAACAATGAATTCAACTTCACGCAATTTAGGTTGCTAAATAATTTAATCTGTGGTCCTTGCCCTGTCTATCATTGTCAAATAATAATAATAATAATAATAATAACTAAAAATAACATGAAAATTTGACGGGTGAAATTTTCTGATGAATCTTAATTCTTAAGTTGACTAAGCTCATAGCGAGTTCTATGAGAATAAAAGTAGAAATTCCCTCGTTAAATATTTAACAATTTTAGAAAAATGTTGGAAATATCCATCATAAATATGAATGTTGGTCGTTATTTTTAGAAGTGAATAGAAATGAAAAGGTTTAAAATTGACATTTCACTGAAACAGCCATTAAAGAGTTATCTTTCCTTCTTTGTTTATTTCATTCTTTCATTTTCTCACTGAAATCAAATCGTGTCTTTTCCACGCGATCAAAACAATTATTTCTGAAATATTGACAGGAGACTTTAAAAACTTTTACCTTCCCTTCTTTCTTTCTTTCTTTCTTTCTTTCTAACCAAATCTCCGCCTTACAAACATTTTTAAGCATTTCATCCCAAACAAGGCGGGAGTGCCACTAGCACGCAGGGGGTTACAGAGAGGGAGAGCAAGAGTAAAAAGTAAAGAGGGGTATTTAAGGAAAGGATATAGAGAAGGATGTGGATCAGAATCAATGCATCAGAAGATTGACATTACATTTGAATATTTGAAGAATCCGGGAAGCAAGTAGGAGGAAGGGAGTTCCACTGCCTGGAAGTGTGAGAGAAGAAGCTATTGGCGTATAAGAGGCGGTTACATTTAACTGTTTCGACAGTGAAAGGGTGGGACCGAGATGCCAACCTAGTAACACGCTTAAATTCATGCAGCTGGGGGACCAGTGAAAGTAGCTCGTCAGAGCAGTTGTCATGAAAATATTTGTAGAAAAGACAGAGGGAAGCCACAAAACGTTTGTGAGAAAGTGACTGAGGACGAGATGCCAGATCAAGGCCTATCACATTGCACATTCGCCTCTGGATTTTTTCTAGGACCTCGAGATGAACATCGGGGTCAGCAGACCATATATGGCAATAGTATTCAATGCAAGGACGAATGGTAGATTGTAGATTTACCAATAATTCGTGTAATGACGCCAGCGGGAACGTGATGGCCCACATGAACGGAAAACGAGGGTACAGTTGCTTGCGGTTTTACTGAATTACTTTTTCTGTTTTTCTCGGTTGAAGAGGTCTACAGATTTTTCTCAAAAAATATACTGACTTTTTTTTCTACTGAATATCTTTGGTTTCGTAGAATTTGTTCTCAATTCTCTAGGAGACTGTCGCACGCACATACCACGCACATTTTCACATACATACATTTATATATATGTATACACATACACACACACACACACACACACACACACACACACATATATATATATATATATATATATATATGTTGGAAGTTCTCAGAGCCAATTCATAAAATTGAACGAAGGAGATTTTTAATACCCTACTTGATTAAGTCGAAAACATTTCGCCACATATATATATATATATATATATATATATATATATATATATATATAATTGTTGACATATATATATATATATATATATATATATATAATTGTTGATATATATATATATATATATATATATATATATATATATATATATATATATATAATTGTTGTGATAGTGGTTTTGAAAACGCGCGAACACGCTCTGCTATAATTATTTCAAAATTAACCGTTGTGGTTATGATCTTTTGTAAACAAGCTTTCCCAATCCAAGGGCGATAATGAGAGATGGTAAATTGCAAAACAGTAGATTGCAAAATGGTGTTAAATGTTAGTAAACTCAAATGCATTTTAAAACAGTGCTACTATACACATAATGAATTTTGTTCAGTGTTGTTTGCTTGCTTTTGATATAAAGGACCTCGAAAACTTGAAGTTTCTTTTATTAATTTCATGATTTAGTATATTGGTGTTGTCAACAAGTATTTTTCTGTACTGTGAAGGTGGACACGAATGTGTATTCAAATGAGAGAACTTGTATCCGATAAATGAAGTGTAAGACGTCTTGATAATATATATATATATATATATATATATATATATATATATATATATATATATATATATATAAATCCGTGGCAATAATCCAAGTGAATCGTACTTATATAAAATATTAAAACTGATCAATAGAAGAGAAGTCAATATATTTATTATAGAGCAAATATGAATTACAAGTAGATAAAATTCAATACCTCGAATGATATATGGCCATTTCGCCCAGAACGGGCTTGTCAACAACAAGGAGTTAGATTGTAGATAGATATAACAGCAACAACTAAAATCGATAGCACATGTAACTAAAAGAGAAAATAATGATATAGGGTGACCAAAAAAAATGGGAACTTTTTAACAATCCAATAAAACCAAAAGTGATGGAAGAAAAATATTTTATTCATAGTAATTGAAACCTTAAAACATGCCATTTAAGAAACAATGATGGAATTTTCATTTTTTACGTCCTGTAGATGGCGTCCTCCTGTACGAATGCATTCTTGAAATCTGCTGTTGAGATTCCTCATCGACTGCTGCAACATCTCAGTTGCGATACTGTGAATTTCATCTTGAATTCTAAATGGCAAAATGTTTACTTGCTCAAGGTCACTGTCTCGCAGTGTTGCCACTTGCTCATGTCTGGCAATACGCACTTAAAAAATTCCCGTTTTTTGGGTCACCCTTTATAATCAAAATGTTAGCTTTCCATACTACCAAAAACAAAATGAGTAGAATAAAATTCATATCAATATAAGCGCAATAATAGTTGACTTGAGAAGTTTTATTTCCTGAAAAAAGTACTTTTAAAAAGATTCTATAAATTTCAACCGACAGTAACGAACTGCTCAGTCAATGAATGGCGAATGTTTCCTTATAGGGAAATGGATATTTTCACACTTGCTATTCCCACTATCATTATAATTACTATTTTGGTAAAATCCGCATATCTACTAACTCTAATTTTGCTTATTTTTACTTTTTTTTAATAATATTTTCTTAAATTAGTCTGGATTCATGAATCTCACCTACTGGTCACTTGAAAGACTATATATGTCCTTTTGTACGTTTTTATCAATAATGTAGATGTTCAAACAGTTCGTACATGTATATCCATAATATCGCAAGTAAGATGAAAATAGTGGAGAGTAATTAAAATTCAAAGAGAGTAAGGAGTTACAATCTTAGTAGAATCAAGATAGAATGAAGTTTACAAATGAACATAATAGCTTGCAAATTTAGACTGACTCAAACATTAGAAAACCCACTTATTCATTTTCCGAGTATTTATTTAATTGTTTGACGCAAGGGCGCGGTATTTGAACGCCTAGTAAATATCAAACTCACCCCACTAGCGATTTGGCTTGTGAGACGCGTTTGTTAACCATCGCACTACAACAGGCATACGTTTTGCTTTTTAGTGTATGATAGTAATATTGTGTCTTCTCCAAGATTTATACAGCGAGGCTATCCAAAGGAAGCTGGAGATTCTACCAAGAGCCAGATGAGACCTAAAATGCGACACTGTCGTCATATTTGGGTAGGAGCTGTCCAGTCCTCACTTTCCAGTCTTGATAGAGTTCAAAAGCGTCTCCAACATATTGTTTTCCACCCTTCAATTCCCTCTCCCACAGACGAGATGTGGCAAGCCGTCTACTGCTCTCTCGCTACTTCCATGGAAAGTGCTCGGAAGAACTACATTCCTTAGTTCCTCCAGGTCTAACCTTCACGGCTAGGACCCACCATGACACACTAACATTGTCAAACCACCTACATTCCTTCCGTGTTTCACTGGTCAGAAGTAGGTTCCACTCGAAAAGTTTCTTCCTACAAACTTTGTGAATCGACTCTCAACGGGATATTTCTTCGATCACCACAATCCTAATCTGTTCAAGTCTAGTGTTA